GATGTTGCTGTTCCTTCAGTCTTTGTCTTTAAAAACAAAAACACACGAGTTGTACTTCCTTTGCAAGGAAATAACTCTTTTAAAAAAATATCAAATGGCTTTTTACTCAGGATATACCAGATTTGTCTGCAAGCAGTTGTAGAAGCTCACATACAAAACCAAATGATTTTTGCACAGTCCAATAGGGATTCCTTCAACTTTCCTAATATAAGTAAAGGCCAATTAGTTGTTAAATATTGCCTACTGTTGTAGTTAAACTAATTTATCTATGTAAATAAACCATATAGTGTGATTCAGAGGCAGAGCAGCAAAAGCAAACAATTCATCCTTTTGCACTGGCAAACAAGGTAAATTTATTCTAAAACCTTAATCACTCACCAGTTTTTCAGTTCAAATGGGTTTTGTTCTTCTTTACTGACATGGAACTTATGAAACTGCATGAATATATGAAGTATTCAGCTGGTATCCTAATCTTGAGTAACAATATTGAGCACTGTATTCCACAAAGCAAGATACCTGTGCAGGTACATATGGGGTGGGGATGGGGAGGAATCCAAGGTCCATAGTAAGTCAGGTTAGGTTTTGAAGCTATGACTCATGCAGTTTTGTTGCATTTTCACAAAAGTGAGTTTGTATTTTCCATCTCTGAATGTAACACACAGTGTTAAACAAAAATAGCTAAAGACTGGAAAAAGTTAAAGAATTCCTATTTACCCAAAGGAAATAGACATCTAGATAAGGAGATTCAAAGATATATACACATATAATATGCACACATAACTAGTTGACACATCAAACCAAAATAGAATTGGGTTTTGGTTTTGCCTAAGTGTGTTGTATTAATACAGCCATTGAAGACTGTAACCCCTGAGCTACAGCTTAGTGTCATATAGGACCGCAATAAATTGTGGCTTTAATAAATCATAGTTAAACCATGGTTTAACATAAGGTGAAAACCCATCCCAACAAACACAGGCTGGTTGCAGTAGTTTGAAGAAACTGTATTATTCTGAGATCAAATACACAGCCATTACAGGTAGTTAGCAACCATTCAAAGTTACGACTGCTGAAAAAGTAACTGTATGACTAGTCCTCATACCTACAACCATCGCAGCATTCCCGCGGTCACGTAATCAAAATTCGGACACTTCACAACTGGCAGGCGTTTATGACCGTCTCAGCTTCCTGCGATCACATGATTGCCATTTGCACACTTCACTTCCAGCTTCCGACAAGCAGAAACAATGGAGAAGCTGGCAGTAAAATCACAAGTTGTGGTCATGTGATATCTCACTTAACGACCACGTCGCTTACCGATGGAGTTGCTGGTCCATTGTGATCATTAAGCAAGGACTACCTGTATTTTCCTGACCATTCTAATTACAAGGAAAATCTAAATATGGGACAGTTTTCAATCTAATGCCTATGTATTCTCAAACACAATACAGCCAAGTCACATATAGAACAGACCGTTGGCCTCTAGTATTACTCTCCATTTGCACCCTGAACCAGGTTTAGATTAGAGAGGGTACTCTCTATTATCCAGCTGCTTGATCTTCAGCAAAAAGGCTGCCTTGGATTAACCAGAATGCAGAGAAAAGCTTGATGAGAAAGGCAGTTAACAGAGATCATACATGCATGCGTTTGTTTTTTGTAATTAGACACAGTGTTAGTAGAAACATCTACTTTAAGCAATAGTTGCTTATTTGCACAAACAGAAGGACCATATGTTCCTGTGGGTGTGGAAGGATGTTGATAACAAAACTAGAAACTTCATAGATTTTGTTGCACGAAATGTTGCACAGTTCCTTCCATGAGATGTTGACATCTGAGTCATAGTCCTCAATTCCCATCTTAAACCTTTTTCCTCAGTAAGAAATGTGCTAAACTGAATAAAAATAGATAAGCAAGTATACACAAGCAGATGCCCTCAGAAATGTTCAAACTTGATTGCTTAAAATCAGAAAATTAAAACAGTGGCTGTGTAAATGAATGAGTATCCGGATGTTATCACAGTGTAAATTAGAGATTGTATTTGTATGTGTTTCCTTTAAAATAATCCACCAACAAGCTAGTGTTCATTGGACCTTGAAAGATGATGGCCCAGTGCACTTATCCTGAGACTGCAAAGGCATTGCTAAGGAGAAATTTGTCAAAAGCTTTTGTACATTGGAGCACACTCCCTCTGCTGCATCATTTCCATCCAGATGTTTGTTGACATGCTTAAACAATCTCAAAGGTTTATGGGATTTTCATTTGTACTGATTGTTCTTCAGCAAGGCTTAATCTTCAACCTGCTTGTTAGAAGCAATTTCAGCATTGGAGTTCTCTAAATGTTTTAAATGATATTATTGGGAATTGTTAGTTTACTGATTTTTAACTTGTTGATACGGTCAGAACCTCATCTTTTACACTTCTATTCTCGTAGAGTCCCTTCCTAACAGTTCAAGCTTAGACATCAACATTTTCTGCAGTGAAGTCAGATAGATGCAAGTTATTC